TCTTTATTAAATTGGAACTTTAAGGATAGTTTTGCCTTGGACTCTGATTTAATTCTACATGATATTTGGAACGCTGACACTACGGTCCTTTGCTAGATGGCCACCGCCAGTGCAGAATTCCAAATTAAAACATTTGTGACAGCCAGTGATTGCCTAGCCACATCCAATCAAAGATGGATTCTATTGTGTGTAACCAGGGTTAAGACACACCTCTACTTTTCAATCTCAGTGGTGGAGAACCAATTTGGGCTTGGTGTGTCAAAAATTCAGGAACTGCCTACCTTGACTCTGCTAGCGTATCTCACACTCTCACACACACAGACACAAAAGAGGCCTCTCCGGGAGACGAGAGGAAGAGAAGGGAAGGAAGATAGAGGTGAGGAGAGGAAAACGGAAGGGAGAAGGAGAGAAGGACAGAGGGTAGAGGAAGGGGAAGGGGAAGAGCAGGAGTAGGGGAGAGGTAAGGGAAGAAGGAAGGGAAAGGAGAGGAGGAAGGAAGAAAGTAGAGAAGGGAAGGAGGGAGAAGAGAAAGAGAAAAAGAAGGTGGTGTCAAAACAGGTGAGGGATGGCAAACAAAGCAACCCAAACTGTTTGTTATAACCCTGTAGACGGAATGACAAATGTGTAACAACGAATGTAAAAAAGAGTAATAATTATGTGAACGTATAGCTATCATTGTATATAGAGAACACAAAATAAAAAAACTTTTCAATAAAATTAGAGGCCTCTCCTCTTCTCTGAACCCTCTCTAGATCATGGTCCAAGGCCTCTAGCGCCTCAGAAAATCGTGTGAGAACACTTGCACAATTTTGGGACCCCTCAGAAGCTGTGCGAGAGCAAAGCCCTCTTGCACAACTTCCACAAGATCCAAAGGTCTGATGTCTCAGCAATGGCAGGGGATATCACCTCTGTGACAGGCACAACACACCAACACACCAACACCGCTCCTCTATATGTTTACTGAGGAGCCCACGAGACCATTTTAAAACACCCTTTGTGCCTCTTATGCTCGCAACCTAAAAAAGCCTATTTCTATCCAGGTATCTAAATTTTTGAGGTCCTACTAGCATCAACAACACCTCATCATATAGTCACTCTGATTCGTCTCCTTTTTTAAAAAGAATTTGAGTCACTGCATACTTTCCCAAGAAAAAGCATTGAAATGTTCCTAGGTTGATTGATAAGGCAGCTTTTATCCTTCTTTTAAAAAAAAAATAGCACACTTAAGGTCTCTTAATTACCATTAAGCTTTCATGCAGTCCAAGGGAAAAATTAGAAAAAAAAACACATTTTCACTGAATCCTTTCTTGCTTTGAAGATTGTTTTCGGTAACATCTCCCCCCTCACATGCCAGAGCGAGGGGAAAAGCGCCATTGGTTCGGGTGTGTGCATGATTCAAAACTGTTTAGATGTTGGAAGCTCAACACCTGAATTTTGAACAATGGGAAGGGCAGGAAAGATCGAAGCCAGAATCACCTTGAACTACACTTGCCAGTTCTCTAATTAAGAAGCGGGGGTTACAATTGGAGGAGTAACCATGTATTAACAGCCAAACTCACAACTGTTGCCTGGGAAGATCAAAGCCTGTGCGCGCAGCAGGGCGTGAGATCTTTTATTTGATGTACAAAATAATTGGACAGATATCGCACGGCCCACAAAGGCAGACTTAGAGAAGGGACACGGACGGACGGACGGACGGACGGACGGACACACACACACACACACACACACACACACACACACACACACACACACACACCAGTTTAAGATTCTCAGGGAACTTGCTTGTTGTGGGTCCCATCCAGGAGGTGGGCTGTTACGGGTTCAGGAAAACCCAAAGCTAAGATTATGGCTGGCCCCGCCCACCACGCTCCACCGCTGCCATGCCACCCCCTTAGGACACTCCACGCAGCCCATTTTGGATGCGAGGTCAGTGCAGGGTCCGCACGGAGACTCGGGGAGGGGGAAATCGGGGCTCCCGGAAGGCCTCTGGGGCTTGGGGGAGGCAGTTTTCGTCCTCCCAGAGGGTCGAGGAAAGCCTCCGGAGCCTGGGGAAGGCAAAAACACCCTCCCTCCCCCACCGTGGTGCAGGAGGCCGGCTAAGCCACACCCACCATAGCCACGCCCACCCAGCAACTGAGGCGGAGAACCTGTTGCTGAAATTTTTGAAGCCCACCCCTGGGTCCCATCAATTAGGGATTGTCATCTGGCGACCACACAAAAAAATAAGCCTTCTCGGTGGTGGCCCCTTAGGGAAACATCACTTCCCTCAAAGTACAGTTGTGTCCCACCCTGCTGCTTTTGCACAAGGCCCTAAAAAGGGTCTTTGTCAGGAGGCCTGGGGAATCACAAAAGAGAGAGAGACACACACAACCAAGCGGCTGATTTCATTGTTTTGTTGTCATCAAAATCCAGATGCTTAGCGACCGATTCATATTTATGACAGCTGCAGTGTCTGTCTCGGGGGTCACGTGATCCCCTTTTGCGACCTTCGGACAAGCAAAGTCAATGGGGAAGCCAGATTCACTTAACGACTGGGGGAGGGGGGAGACTAACTTAACACTTGCAGTGATTCACTTAACAGATGTCTCGCTTGGCAACAGAAATTTGGGGCACAATTGAGGCTGTAAGTCAGTGGT